GATTCGAATTCGTATGTATGCATGTGTCAACCATAGCACCTGACACCTTGACTTTGCCCTGCTGTTGGAAGAGGCAGCACGATGTGGACGCTTTCCAGTGCTGCAAGTCTGCATTGAACCCTTAGAGCAACTGTTACCCCCATCGTTTATGCTTTCGTAAGTTACGTGCCTGTGTGATGAAATAGACACGCATAACTGAAAAAAGATAATACATCTCGGTCTAGTTGACACCTCTTCTTTCATTAAATTTGATCAATATACCCCTCTAAAAACTGTTCTATCGTCTTCTATCTTGTAGTGGTCAGTTCACGATCCCTTCCGTTTGGTTCCAGGACGGGTCACACATTTGGCAATGTTTTTTGTCGGGTGAATCAGCAGTGACCATCCATGTTGGATCGTATACGTCTGTGGTGGGTTTCGCGACGACTTCGAGTCTGCTCTTAGATGCACTCTGACATGGAAACAGATTAGAGTGTTTTCTGCCTCTGTTCTATTCGTGGGCGAATTTGCGGTAGTGTGCATGAACTCTAATTTATCCGGTGCTAGATTGAACTCTGTCACGGCCGCTCCTGCAGTTGAATAGCCGGCACGGTGAGCTCATTGTACTTGTGTAACTTCTGAGGTCTCGGCTATGCCAGCTTTGGTGGGTGAATCAGTTCGAAGGGCCCTGTTTTTACTCAAATTAGTGGTTCTTCGCTCTTCACAAAACGATCTTGTTGCACGCTGGTGTTTCCCTCACTCCTCTTGCTCAACGACGCCCTCCCTGCCTTGTCTCGTTTTGCAGAAATCGCCGCGCTTTTCTTGGCTTAATCGCGGTTTCGCGCCAGCGAATACTATGACTACAGTTGTTGACGGAGAAGAAGGCAGCATCCGCAACTCCTCTCAAGCTTCCATCGCGACAAAATCTTCTTCCCTCTTCTCGAGATCGCGCAGTTCAACTCTCGGCGGTGCTTCTGCGCGATTCTCTTCGAAGCTCATTTCAAGGCCGTCTGATTTTCGACATATCGATCACCGCGGCCCGGCCGTCCCTGTTCATCTGATTGATCTTGAACGGAGACCCGACGATGATCGACGAATGACACTTCCCGAAGTTCGGTACTCCACCGGTAACTTTAGTGCTGCCAGCAGTCACGAATCTCCTCAACGGACCTCCCTGAACTCCAGTTCATCACTTGGTCTGGATAGCGGGTCCGGCATTTTGGCTTCCAGTGTAAGTTCCTCTGGGCTCGAGTTTCCGACGAAATCTCATTTGAACTTCTACATTTCTGTTTACTAATTAATTATAAGTAGTGCGTTTTGTTTAGCGTGTTGTCACAGTCAATCCGAGCACTTAGTGCTCTATTTGTATAAATCTTAGGCATTTCTCTATCTTTTCCAATTTTGTTGCCTTGTCTTCGGGTCTCATGGATGTTCTAAACCGGCAATTTGATCAATATTTTCAGCGTGAATTTGTTTCAACGTTCCACAGCATCACTAGTGCGTTGATTTCGTCAGTCTAGTTGGACTGAGTCCTCCGTCATCCATGTTTACTTTGCAAACCATCACAATGCCAATAGGTGCTCGGTGCTGGAACGTATTAAACTCTTTGACCGAGGTTCCACCGTACTCTTATCAATACCCCATGTGTTCCTAAAACTGTGCTGTACACTCTGAAATAAGAAAATCCTATGAAATAGCGATAATCTGCAAAACCTATCCTAGGACAAAACTCACGAAACATCAAGTCCGCAAAAGGCAAACCGTGCGGCGGCAAGTGATTACTGTAATCGATTAAAGCATGTGAAATGGTAACCAATGACTTATCCTATCAAATTGGCAAGGATATTGAAAATTAGTAGAAAAATTCCACTCAGCAAGTAGGTTTTCGGATGGCTGGAAGGAACCTAATTCAGTCCTTCGTGAATGAAACATCCTTTGATTGTATTTCTTGTCAGTTTTTCCAGACAGGAGCAGTCTTGGGATTTGGTCCTTTTCTTTCGATTAGGTTAGAAATAGCCAATTGGAATTAACCTTTGTCAATATTTTGGGTGTGTATCAGGTTTGAGTCTTAAGTTCTGGCCTTTCGGTGTCCTCAATATTTTATCCACATCCATAATGTTTACTTGTTGCCTTGGTATTTTTTCCCACGTATATTCGTATTTAACTGCTTCAGAGGGCCTCCGTGGACGCTGAGGTACTGTCTTTCGATTTGAGTGCCGCGGCTGTGGAACACAATCAAAACCCCGAACCCGATTGTTGTCCCAAACCACCTTCGGATCTTCAGATCGGCTCAAGCTCTCCTGAGATCCGGGACCAAGT